AAATGCCCAATTAATTCATGCATGACTCACGGTTACCGGCAGGGCGCCGACCAGTTACCGGGGCTTTGCTTACCATGCATTCATTAATCGAAGGTGATAAATAGTCGGTATTGGTCCTATCAGTACGGTAATTGTCCAGCCGGTACAGTAAAGCACCGGCCGGTACAGTAAAGCACCGGCCGGTACGGTAAAGCAATGACCGGTACGGTAAAGCAATGACCGGTACGGTAAAGCAACGACCGGTACGGTAAACCGAGTCAAACTCACAGGAAACCGGCTGGGTGGTAATGATCAGTTCCCTTAGAGAGGATTCCATTCTCTCTTTTGGAATTGCTAATAGAAGGGTATCATGCAATAACTGTCAGGCCTGTGTGCAAGCAAGCAAAATGTTTTTGTCACTGCTGAGAAAACAGGTTACTATACATAAAATACATATGTTTCTACTTACTTTGATATCATAATGGTCTTTAAGTCCATCCTCCACGTGGTTCAAAAATTCAAAGATATCTATCCTGTTCAGGCAAGAATCTAGTAGTGTATACATACATTCAAAGGCAGCCTAGTAAAGAAATAATTACTCACCATGGTAACTACACAAAAAAAAGATTTATTGATGTATTGGTATAGGTCATTGAATGACAAGCAATCTTTCACAGGTTTTGAGATTAGCAGAACAACGTCATAAACTTGTATAGGGCACTTGTCATTCTATAACTGGCTTCTAACATGGCTGCAATCACAGTAAATTTTATCCAAGTGAATTTTGTTTATCACATGTTTATTTCAGCATCGGTCTAGGCACTGTTATTTTTTACATTTGCATAGATTCAGATAGCTAATTTGGCGTATAATCAACACGTCATTGGCTACTAATCAATAAACAAAGTTTCAGCAATTATATTCATTTCGAAGCCCATTTCTAAACGTATGGGCTTGCTGAGGTCTGATTGGTGAAAATGGCCCATCCATGTGAGAACGAGAAAGATGCCTCAAACTGAATGCAGAAGAATTAGCATGCATTGAAACACAATTCAAGTGTGCCTTGTACATGTAAGCTTACCTTTCGGATATCCAAACCATCATCCACAGTATGCTTAAAAGGACCCATCTCAACTTCACGAATCAGATCTTTCTATAAATTGATGAGAAAACCATTAATAAGACATGTTATCCAGACTGGAACACACAACACACAAGTTTAGTTGACAATAAAAGTAGTGTACATATTCCTCAAAATAGAAAGGACAATCTGAGTAAGAACTTTGTTACTCCAGGATTGTGATCAAAGTTAAACTCTGCAAAGGTCCCATGGGAATATAGAAAATATGCATATTGTCCTTTTACTATAAAATTAAAAGAGCTAACCCAAAACATTTTATTGTATAGTAATCTCTGGCCATTGTCAGAAAGAGTTGCCAGTAGCATCTAAGGGAGTCTAGTGTTAACAATGGCTACTAGTATTTTATAGCGGAGATTGT